ACTTATTATTATGTATGCATTATGTGTCTGTGCATGGACATGCATGCTACAGCATGTGTGTGGAGACAAGAGGACTTCATAGAGTTTGTTCTCTCCTTCCATTTTTGTGGGAGTTTCAGGGGTTCAACCCGGGTCGTCAGGCTTCCCAGCAAGCATTTGACATGCTGAACCATCCCGCTGTCCCAGGAATTCTTGATGTACATTTTGTATATAAGTCAGTGCCCACAATTTTAAAGCAAGGATTTTCTAACCCTCTCTTCTAGTTTCTTGTCTCTGTACTTACAGCAGTTACTTCTGCCCGTTTTACTCCTTTTCTCATTTTCTTTTTTGATTTCAGTCAATACTCCCTTACGTGTCTTTTATTCATTCATTAAACACATGACTGCTGACCTTTTATGGATTTGTCAGCTAACAGTGCAATTCGGGCTAGAAATCCATTAACTAATATGTAGTGCTAAATTGCCACATTAATTTGGGGTCCATTTTTGGGTGTAACTTCAGTATAATCAACACCATTTTGGTGGTTTGCTATTTTCTACTTCTTGGACCACTTCTGCATTCCCATTTTCTCTAATTCTCTTTACCTGGACCCTCTAGTCTGGCTTGAGAAGTGGTCTCTGGTAGCAAAACTTGTTCCTGTTACCCACAGGGGCTCCCTCTGCCTCTGTACACATGTGCTAATGAACTAGAAGAATGCTTTCCTCTGTGTGAAAGTTGGATGGAGCTCTCTGGAGTTTCATTGCTGCTGCTCACTGGAATGCTGTGTGGAAATGTTCTTGTGGCATTTTACTGGGAGGTATGAAAAACACAGTCTTATGACATTTCGAACAGGGCTAGTATTTATTCCACAATATTGACCTGTAGAGTCTAACAAGATTTGCATACCACAGAATTACTTTCATTTAAAACTACATTTATGCTTACAGATATGCCTCTTTTATATAACAAATATGGCACTTACAATCCTTATAAATGATATCCAGGTACTATGAACACTTTTTAATATTTCAAAATTATAACAGCAACTGATTCTAAAGTGTTCCCCTTCCATAGTGGGGGTGGGACAGGGCTAGTGCATGTCTAGCCAAGCATCCTCCTCCAGGTACATCACAGAGGGGGTTCTCAAGATTCACTTCCTACTTTTTTATTAAAATTTGCTTTTGGGTATGGTGACGTAATTTGCTTTCATAGTACTGAACTTTTATTTCCCTGAATTAACAGTCCCCTGAATTAACCCCCCCCCATTTTTCCATCTTCTCCTCTTCTGCCCTGATTTCTTAATATATTTCTCTCTGAAAGAAAGTGACTGCAATGGACAACTGTAGCTATTTTGGGTATTTAATCATTGCTGATATCTTAATACTCCAGTCTCTTCTGCTGGTTAGTGAGACCACATTTCTGTACTGCATCTCTGTGTGTGTGCAGCAAGGTTAGGAAGGTCAAAGAGCAGGTTGCAGAAGTTGGTTCTCTCCTTCCAGCATTGAACTGAGGCTGTCAGGCTTGGCAGACAACACTGATTGTTACTAACTTTTCTGTTGTTTGGTTATTTTATTGTTTTGTTTCTTGAGACAGAGTCTCACTGTGTAGCCTGAGCTGATCTGGAACTCACTGTGTAGCTCAGGCTAACTTTGAAATTGTGAGTCTTCCTGCCTCAGCTTCCTGAATGCTAGGATTGTGGTGGTGAGCTACCCGACCCAGCAGTTGCTGCTTTTTTTTTTTTTTTTTTTAAAAAGATTTATTTATTTAGTACACAGTGTTCTGCCTGCATATATGCCTGCAGGCCAGAAGAGGGCATCAGATATCATTATAGCTGGTTGTGAGCCACCATGTGGTTGCTGGGAATTGAACTCAGGACCTCTGGAAGAGCAGCCAGTGCTCTTAACCACTGAGCCATCTATCTCTCTAGCCCACCAGCTGCTCTTTCTTACAGCAGCTGGGATGAAGTTCCTTGTGTCTGTATAAAAATAGAGCTGGACTGTGTCGTTTTAAAAAATGATCCACAAAGAAAAATGTCTTTTAAAAATGTAACCTCCTTGTTGTGAAATAGGTGTTAATTACTAGCAATTATAAGGAATGGTTCCGAGCGAAACCATGGACCTCACCTGATTTTCGTAAGAGTAAAATCCTGCCAAACTGTGGCACAGCCAGGATGTCCACACTGACAACACAGAGTGTGGACCTTTTCCACTGCACAGACATCCCTCCCTGTGCCACTTTCTAGTGACACTCACATCTCTATGGGCCACCACCACATCCCTGCCATTAGCTGTTCTAAACTAGACCATTCTTTGTTCGAGAACTTGTTACTTCAAAAGCCTCATGTGGATGGAGCCATTTAGTGTGTAACCTCCAACTGGTTTTTCATAATGGATACAATTCCCCAAACTCCATCCAAGATCCATCATAGATCTTGGAGATTTTCATTTTTGTAAAGATTTCTATCTTCATTTTAGAAGTCTAAAGTGTATTCTGAATTTGTATGTGTAGGAGGTTGCTAGGGATCAGACTCAGGACCTTTCACATGTTCTGCTTTTCATGAGGTAAATGCTACTCTTTTCAGAATTTTTTCACTTTATTACTTTCCCTTTTAAAATATTTATTTGTTTTTTTTTTTTAATTTTTACGTGTATGAGTGTTTACCTGCATACATCATATGAGTGCCTCGTGTCTGGAAGCCGGAAGAGGACGTTAGTCCTCTGGAACCAGAGTTAGAGATGGTTGTGATCCATCATAAGGGTGCTAGGAACCAAATCTCTGTCCACTGCAAGAGCAGCAGGTGTTCTTAACTTCTGAGGCGTCTCCCCGGCTCTGGTTTTACTTTTCTTAATCTGCATTTAGTTTGTGTTTTATAAAACTAACAGCTTTAAA